TCCCAGCGACCAGGACAGTGCCCCAGGTGCCAGCATCCGAGGTCTGAGGTGTGGCCCTCTGTCCAGGAATTATACAAATACATCCAGTCGCTGCCCTCATCTTTGAGACATAGTACAGGACAAAGCTTCTACCAGTCCTGCTTGCCCCTGCGAGGTGTCAGTGTTTTGCGCCAACGACAGCTCTGGAGTGGTAAGGAGCAGGGAGGTGGAAGAGGGTCTAGAGCATCTGCTCCTTAGATCATCAGGTGTTAATAACAGGTGCAAAGACGAAGGCTTGGAGAAAAGTCCTGATCTGTAATTAGCCCTCCACCCCACTAGGCAGAGACTCACACTATTTTAGCTCCAAAGGCTGTAGGGGCCAAGCGGGTGCCAGTGGAGGGAGTGCACCCCTAAGAGTGGCCTAGACCCCTAAGGGCCTCCCCCTTCCCCTGCCCTGGCCGCTTTGGGCACCGCAGCAACGGCCTCGGCTGTTAGCGTAGGAGAACAGCACCCTAGCTCGCCGGTCAGGGCCGGATGTGGGAGGTTTTCCAGGCGGAATGCACCAGACCTGAGAGTTGGAAAATTTAAAGTGGGGAGGAGGGACAGTAGAAAAGTTAACCGGCTCTGTCTCTGCCTCACCTTAAACAACGAAAACAAAAAACGTCTTCTGGGCTAAAAATATAAACTTAGAAAGTCCCAATGCACAGGCGAGCGGCGAGTTCCAGCTGCCGGCCTGGCCCGGGGAAGACTTGGCCGAGCGGCCACCCCTTACACCCAGCTCGGCTGGGATGGCTCCGAGCCGTCTGCCCTGACGTCAGCGAGGCTCCGGGCCCCGCCGCGGCGAGATAGGCAGCGCGGCCGGGCGCGGCGCTAATCACTCCCAGATGTCCCTAATAGCGGAGATAAAGACGGACGGAGCGGCCGGGAATAAATTTGTAATCAGGGCTCCACCATCTGATCATCAAAGCGGCCCAAATGCCGGGAGAATTTGAAGAGAATGTGTGTGCAGGGCAGGGGGGTCGTGCTCAGGGGGAGAGGAGGGGGCGCTCTCCTCGAAGGGAGCTGGCTTGGCCGGGCTGGGCCGAGAGAGCCGGGGGGGCAGTCTAACTTCCGTGCGCACGCCGGTCAGAGCCGCGGTGCACTGCGACTGCCCCGAGCCCGCAGCCCGCCCGGGCCTGGCCGCTCGCCCGTGACCGGCCGGCTGGGCCCCGGCAGGCGGCGGCCGGGAGCGGAGTGCACGTTGAGCAGCGGGTGGATGGTCGGGAGGCGCGCCCAGAGCCGTTTGGCCCCCGGAAATCTGGGATTCGTTTGGTCTCCGGCAGTTCGCTCCCTCTCCGCCTCCCCTTATAAACAGTTAGAAAACAGTTTGCTCCCCTATCTGCCGGTAGACGTAATCTCTACCGCACGGCTGGGCTCGAGCCCCGGTCCTGGGCCGCAGCCTGAGGGCGGCTCCAGGGTCTTTCTCTCAAAGGGATCCTCGGCTCCGACAGGCCAGGCGTCCTGTTGGTCCCTAAGACCCCGTAGCGTCTGTTCCTCGCACTGGGATCTGAACCGCAAGAGTTGGGTCTGGTGGTTGGGTTCCCTCAGGCCAATTGATCCAGAAAAGCCGGGCAGATTCAGCTCTCTACAGGGCATACGCCACAAGCCTCCTTTCCAGATCATCTTCTCTTGGCATCTACCACCAGTCTCTTTTCCAAATCCAGGCACGTGGGTGGAACTGGCGGGCAGGGAGAACGCACGGCAACTGTGGAAGAGAAAATCGCCAGCCGCACGCGCGGCGTTAGACACAGCGTTTCCTCAAAGGCACAGGGATGACTGAGAAGTTTCCCGCGCTTTGCAGACCCGCAATGCAGACACTGGCCAGGCTATTGTATACTTTGCACAGTTTACCGTCCTCTGCATACACAACACCTCAAGCCCTCAAGTGGAGCGGCTCTCTCTGCAAAGCAGCCGGAAGGCCTCCCTCCAATTTCTGTGTCTTTGCACTTGAGCTCACTCTTTCTTACCATTGTCACTCTATCCTGCAAAATACGTGTGCACACAACATATTCACCCTCCTGTTACCTTAACAGCTGGTGAGATACCAGCTCTGCGATCATCACGGTGGGGAGTGAGTCGTGCCATCACTGGCACCACTAATGCACTCACCTTACGTGGAGACCACCAGGCTGCGTGGCCCTGCCACGCTAGAGGAGGGCAGCCTAGGCTGGAGATCCACCTTCCCAGGTGCCCTACCTACTGGCTATTCCTCTCAGAAGCTGGAACTTCCCATGGATCCCCCAGAAAGGGGGGACCTCTGGAATTTAGAAGGCAAGGAGAACATCAGGTGATCTTGCTGTCATCTTCTTGGCATCTTGACCTGAAAAAGCTCTTACAGCTGCTGTCAGTGTCCTGGCTGGGAGGCGAAGGCCCTGGAAAACCAAGCCTGGGAGCAGGGAGTGTGCTTAGGTCCCCCTCTGTTGAGTTTTCTAAATTACTTCCCAAGAAAATTGAGAATGGGTTTGTAGGGCCCAACACACACACACACACACACACACACACACACACACACACACAGCAGCGAGTCCCAGCCCCGCTTGTGCTCCAGGGTTATCAGGCGCTCGGCCTGCCCGGCGGTCTGGGGCCGAACCCTGACAGCCAGATCTACCATCAATTTACCTTCCGCCGCCCCAGCTTCCCATTTAGCTTTTAACGTCAAATCCTGCATTTTTGTCGGCTCCGGCCTGTCTAGAGAGCTTGTGATTTCGCTGCAGGAGTGATTGCTTTTAACAAAATGGCAGCAACCATATTATCCGAGCAATTAAAACAGAGACCTTTTAGCCATCTCGCAAGGCAGGAACTTGAAAACTTTTTTTTAAGGAGAAAGAAAGGGAGTTAAAAGAGATATAAATGTGTAGAGGAGAAAAGCACGGAAGCCCCATACGCACAAGAAACGCCTGTCCCGCACACCACTCACTTGCTCACTTTCCTGGGACTTGACAACATGGGGCAGGGATGTTGGGAGCCTGGAGTGACTCATAATCTGGGTGTTTTGCCGGTGGGAGTGTCAGGCCTTTTAGGGTGTGCCTCTGGTTAGGCGGTTTGGGCTCCTGAGTTGTCGGTCCTGCTGCAGGTCTGGCTTTCTGGTTCCTGGTGGACAGGAATGTCGAGGTGGTTTGAAGTGTGGGGTCTGCTGCTGCTGGGCCGGAGGAAGCAGCAGGGCAGGCAGGAGAGGAAAGGAGAGGAGAGGGGAGCCACGGCCCAGTCCAGACAAAGACCTCGGATTTCTTGAGAGCAGGTTTACAAGCTTGTGTAGAAGCGAGCTGCCCGTCCCGACGGTGCTGCCAGAGTTTTCTGGTTCCCCTCAGCTGGTGTTTAATAAACCAGGAAAAGTGTTAAACGAGCAGATATGCATTAAGGCCCAGATGGGAAGTAGACCAGCTACTCAAGTCAAGCGCCAGCACACATGCATGATGAAGATAACTCCTTCCTGGCTCCTGTTCTGAAAACCTCACCGCCTCCCCACCATTCACTCCACTACTTCGGGAGACGCTTTCCATCGACCCCTAGGATCTGGCTGGTGTCTTTCTCTTCAATGGATTAAAGTAAAGATGCCAAAGGTGGCAGGAGGCAGGAGAGGGAGGGAGCCATTCTGTCAAACGGACAGGGATCCGGAGAGTAACAGAAAAATCAGGGCGCGCCTCCCTCCGCCCCCCAGTGCTATAAACAAAGGCAAGTGTCTGTAAACACAGCCCCGCGCCCACCATGTCGGCCCAACGCCGGCTGACCCGAGGGGAGAAAGTTCAGATCGTTTTGGCCGAGTTGTTCTAACCCCTCGCCCTCGCGTTGTCAGCTGCCCGCAGAAGAGACCCGCAGAGCCACTCGCTGTCTCTCCCCCGGCACTTGCCGAGTTCCCCTGCTGCAGGCTGCGCGCTCACAGTGGGCACGGGCCAGGCGTGGGAACCGTTGGAATATGAGGGGAGGGTCTGTGCCCGAAGCCGAGGTGCGAACATCACCCCGAGGATGGGTTCCAAGATGGAAAGCCTCTGGCAAGCCTCCCTAACACCAGATTTATATACGTGGCGTTTCATGAAACAAACCGCTTTTTAATACGTTTCACCTTTCTTCCCTCCCCCCTCCTCACTCCTCAACCCCTCCCCCTCTCCCCCCTCCCTGGCCTGCCCAGTCCTTTAAGGCACACCAGTTTCCCTGGTTCCTAGCGCAGAGGTTTAGGCTCCAGCCAAGACGGCGGGAGAAGGAGGCCTGGGGGACTTCCTTCCGGGTCGTGCTGGGACTCAGAGAGACCAAACCTCGGGCGGGGTACAGTCCCGGGGGGGCTGGTAGTCGGGGAGGGGTCGTTTGCTTGGCTGGCATGAGGCCGAGAGGACTTCAGACACCGCACAGTTAATATTGAGTTCCCTGTAGCTCCTTGTAAATCTAGCTCCCACCACCCACCCCCTTTAAATCCTTGGTCGCGATGGAGATTTCTTACTTGATGTTACCTAAGTTCCCTGTTACCTAATCAGGGACTTCACCGAAGGCCCTCCCTCTGCCCCCCAGCCTGCTCAGAGGAGAATCCACACCACTCCGCACCGCCCCCCCCCACCCTCACGCCGTTGAGACCACGCATAACCTCCTCTCTTCTCTTTCCTTTTCCCCTCTCCTTTCTTAGATGAAAACCCTATATTTTGAGTTAAAGGCTCTAATGCCTGGGATCCTCTCCAAACCTCCTCAACTGAAAACGCTCTCCCCAACGGAAACCTAGGTCCCCACCCAATGGCTTCTGGTTGATTTCAGGAAAACAAGGACACCTTTCCACCTTCTGGGGGAACTGAGGCCCTTCTCCAGGACAGACCCTCTTCCTACAGACCACTCAGGGTTCTCCTCCGGGCTGGAGGGGGGCTGGAGGGGGGCAGGAGGGAGGAGCCCAGGCGCTGTGGCAAGATATTCACCAAGGACCCTTCTCTTTATGGGACCACCACGCCCTGGGAGGACCATTGCTCCAGGTGATTGGTCGAAATCACTGACTCTTTCAAATAAAGTTAGAGGCAATCATGATAATTTAGTTTACTTCTGAATATTTTAAATATTATGAAAACAAATATAACAGTTTTGTTTTCAAAACTCTTTTGAGGTATCAACTATTAAAAGATTGGGGTTTTGTAAAAAAAACACACAGTGGTTTATTGAATACTTACAACGTTTACACCTTCAATATTAATTAAATTCCACTTAGTTTTAGAGGACGGAAGTGCACGAAACAAGTAGCTGTTGGAAACATCTTCAAATCGAGAACAACCACAGAGGAAAGGACAGCACGAGATACCGACCCCAACGGAAATGTTAGCGGCCCCGTTTTCCGTTTTGAAATAAAGCTTTATAATCCCCAGGAATATTTATATCCAAAGGCCAATTATTAAAGATACACTTCACATACACACCAATGTCCGCTGTCTGTTATCTGGAAGGGCAGGTGGGCAGGGGCCACGCTGGTGTCTACACAGCCAGGGGGGAACATTCAAACACAGAGAATCTACGAGACGACGGGATCCCTTACCACGCGGGAGTGTCCTCTTCATATTAAAATATGGAATGCTTTTCTTCAAATATCCACTATTTTTGGAGGGGGAGGTGGGGAGCGGATGCCTCAAAGGGGGGCAAAGAGAGGGGAGGCAAATTGCACATAAATAAACCGGATGACTCCAAATGCAAGTAGTCCTCGGGTCGGAGCGCGTGGAGCTTGCCCGGAGTCCTGGCTCTACATCCGGCTCCTGGGCCCCAGCTCACTAGGCTCTCCTCCTCCTCCTCCTCCTCCTCCTCCTCACTGCTTGAGCTCCAGGGCCCAGACGTGCTGCGGCCAGCCCGTCCGGCCTTTGCTTTTCTTGTCGTTGCTGCTCACTGTGCTTTTCAAGATTTCGTTCTGGGCAGAAGGGAGGCGAGGGGGAGAAAAGTGGAAAGAGAAATTCAGAGAGGAAACCTGGTTCCACGCCACCCCCCGCGCTCCCCGAGCTCGAGAAGACAGTGAGACAGAGAGGAAGGGATGGGAGGTCGGATGGCTTTAATTCCTAGCCCCTGCAGAAAAGCTACGAAGACTGGCGCTGTCCTACCTACAGCCCAGGCCTCCAAGCGCCTGCAACCCTCAGATACCAGATCGGCAGGTTTATAAGCAACCACCCATTTTCAGGTCCTTTATGGAGGACCTGGGGGCCCTTAGCGGGGTCGGCCCTAAATGTGGTTTCCCGGGTTTCAGTCGCAAACCCAGATCCGCACTCTTACAAAGAAAGGGAGAAGTTCCCTCGCCCTGGCTTGGGCCTGTGGGCCGGCGGCTCTCTGCCACCAGCTTAGCAGCACTTCTCCTCCAAGGCCTCTGAAATCCCTGGTTATTCTGGAGGTCACTGGTTTATGCAGCGCCTGAAGCGCCACAGGCCCCAAGGAAGAAACACTCGACAAATGGGATTATTTTTCAGGTCCTTTTCGGCAACAGCCCTGCTCTGAGCACCATCACCTTAAGGGAACTTGGGTAGGGACTTGAGAAAACTAATTTTCAGTTATAATTTCGAGTTATTGGTAACAACAGTGATCATAGTAATATTTACTCTTTGTCTTAAAATGTGCAGGTCAATGCAAATAAAAGAAGAAATACCCATAAAATGTACTCATCTGATAAATTGCATTTTAACCTGACGGCCAAAGAGAAACTGGAGCTGCATTTTAAAGTTAAAAGTGCTTATTTCGTGTTTACCTTTATGTCTTCGGGGCACAGTAAGAACAACCATAAAACTCTCTTAGAATCCGTGGCGGCCTCGTTCTCAAAAGGTGGAAATGGATTCAATAGTAACATAATTGGAATGGAGAGTTTATGGGAGACTTATTTTTGGAATACCTCAAAGCATTGGATTGGAGGCCCAAAGCGGTTCCAAAGGTCACAGAATGAGGGGTCTGGGCCAGTGCTATCGGATGATCAGTCGCGACCCTGAGACTGCGAGGTCCACCCTAAGTGCCTGGGAGACCAGCGATAACCCGGAGGGAAGATCCCCAGAGCAAAGCACCCCTCTTAGCCTTCTTCTCCTGCTGACACCCTCCCTTATCTCCTCTGCCTTTTCGGGGAACCATCCCTACCGCGAGCTGGTGCAAACAACGTAGGCTCAGGAGGCAGCCAAAGAAAGCAGGATGCCGTTGCTCAGCCCAGGCGGAAAGAGACCGGGAGCACCGGCCGCTCGAACCCCGCACTCCCAATGCCCGCTGCCCCGTGGTACTAACCAGCTCTTTCTTCCTTTTCTCTTCTTTCACATCTGTTTTCTTGATTTCCGCCTTGAAGGCCTCCGCCTCGCCGTTCTGGTCGTCCTTGGCCAGCAGGTCCATGAGGTAGGCGATGTAGCTGGTGGCCAGGCGCAGTGTCTTGATCTTGGAGAGTTTGGTGTCGGCGGGCACGTTGGGGATGCACTCGCGCAGTTCGGCGAAGGCGCTGTTGATGCTCTGAGTCCTCCGCCGCTCCTTGCGGTTGGCGGTCCCCCGGCGCTTCACGGGGCGCGGCCCCCCCAGGCCCGGGGGCCCGGCGCCCGGCGGCACCCCCCCGTAATGGGAGTGGTCCAGGCCGGCGGCGCCGCTGGCATAATCGGGGCTGTAGGACAGGGCCATGCTGTAGTCGGGGGGCGACATCTCGGGGTGGCCGATGAGCCAGCCATGGAAGTAGGGGTTCTCCTCGTGGCTGCAGCGGCTGGCGGCGGCGGCGGCAGCTGCGGCGGCGGCAGCGGCGAACGGGTAGCCCTCATGGTGCACCACCGGGTGGTGGGGGAAGCCCCCCACCAGACTCATGTCGCCCTCCGAGCCCCTCCACGCGCCCCAGCGTGCGCGCAGCCCCGCCGCCCCCTCGGCCCGGGCCCCTGCCTCAGCGCTCGGCGGCCTCCCCCACCCCCCACCCCCCAGCCCCGGGGCGCCCGGGCCGGCCCGGCAGCCGCAGAGGGGGCTGCTGCAGCCCGGGCCCCGGCCCCCCGCCTGGCCGGCCGGGCCCGCCTCAGCAGCGCTTCGGCCGCCGACTCCCCATGGGGCGCGGCGAGCTGGTCCCGGCACCGTGCGCCCTTGGCCGCCGCCTCCGGCTCCCGCCTTGCTCCACGGCCCGCGCGCCGGCTGCTGCTTCCCGGGGTGCTGAGGGGACGCCGAATCTTCGGGTGCTCATGCAAAATTGCCCGGCTCCCGCGAGGCTGCTTCTCGGAGTCGCAGGGCTCCACGCCCCGGCCGCGCTCCTGGCACCGAGTCCCGGGACGAGTCCGAGCCGCCGTTGGAGGAGCCGGCCCGGCTCGGCAGGGAGGCGGCGGGGTCGACCGCTCGCTGTGAAGCTACCTTCGTGCGACCCTCCCCTTCCCGCCCCTTCCCCTCCCCCCACCAGCCCGATCTGGGTTCTTGGGCGCTTATTGTTTTAATGAAATTTTTGGTGGTAGTGGTTTTGGTCCTTGAATGTGATTTTAGCTGCGAATAACGTGTCCTCGCTCCTCTAGGGCTCCCTCGGAGGGTTTTCAGAGAGGTCTCAGTGCATCCATTTTCTCGGATCCTCTCCTTCTTTCGGGGGAAGGATTTGGGGCCCTGCGGTCGCCTTGGAGCGCGAAGGCCTTCGGCTCCGGCTGTCAGACAGGTCTGCGCGGTGGCCAAGGGAGCTCCGGGGTGGCGGTGGCGGCGGCGGTTCTGGGCTGGGCGCCGCGAGGGGACCAAGCGAATTTTCCCAGCAAGATCTCCATGTACAGCTACATCTTTAGGGCCGCTCGGGTTAATATATGTCGTCAGAGGCTCCTCACGCCAATCCCGGGGCGGCGGGGGCGGCGCCTCGCTCCCTCCGCAATAAAACTTTTTGATGTTCTTTTTGCTAATTGCCGAGGTCCTCTTCTAGGATTGGCTGCCCCTTCATAACCATAAGATAATTAAAACGAGGGGGGGCAGGGTTAAAAAAACTTTTTTATCAGCCAGAGGTTAATGCAAGTGTTTAACAGATGCTTCATTATTAAAATATTTTTTTCCCCACCTTTCAAATATTGAAGAATCTCAAACCAGGTACAGTACCACTCCGTGTTTTTTTTTTTTTCTGGTTAAATAAAAGGAATGTAGATATTGCTTTTCGAAGTTCGATAGGTAACCGAGGCAAGAAATTCAGCTGGCATACGGGTGCAGTGTTGCGCGGGGCCGAGAGCAGAGGCGGCAAGGCCCCCACGAAGGGGCGGCTGAGCCGAGAGGGGCGCAGGGCGCGGCGGGGAAGGCTGCTGCTTGGATCTGGGCACAGGCTGGAAACTCCGAGCTCTGTGTCTCTTCACTTACCCGCCACCGTAATCCGGGCCCGGGCATTTGGTGTGGCTCATGTTATCGTGGCTGCTTTTGAAGATCACGGGTGAGACCCCCGGAACAACGGTCGAGCTGATTGAAAATCCTCTTATTTCCATATTCTTCAGGGACAGCAGTCCTCAGGAAGACCTTGGGCGATTTCAAAGCGCAGGCACCTCGGTTCCTCGAATTTGTGATGTGGCCGGTATTGGTGTTCCCCTGGTTTAACTAGCCTGTTTGGTAAGTAACTGAATATTTTTTACAGCGTGTTCAGAGCTTATTTTCCAGTTTTTATGAACAAACATATAAATATATCTCCGCATTCCTGCCTCTCCCATAAAAGCGGGCATCTGTGGAAAGCAGGTTTAGTTAGCGGAGGGGAACCATTAAACACCGGTTTAAGAGGCAGGCCAGGAGGACGGCTCGTGGATGTTTAGACTGCTGGCATTGGTGATCTTGAACGCATTATAACGGAAAATGCATCTCTACTTGTAAGTCACCGGGCTGCAGGGCTCCGGCCGGGCGGCCCTGCCGCGTGAGCGGCTTGAGAAGGATCGCAGGGGACTCCTCGGGCGAGGGGTGGTGGGAATGGGCAGTGGCAGGAGCTGAAGTTGCCCGCGGGGCTTGGCCAGGAGCCTCGAGGGGAAGCTGTTGTATATAGATGAGGGTGGTGGATGAGGACTCCACTCGATAGATTTCGGCGTGGAAAAGGGTGTCCACAGAAGCCGGCGGGCTGTTCATTAGAGGGGCAGGAGGGAAGAGTGTGCAGAAACCCGTGCAGGCCTGGGCAGCCTGCGATGCGCTGTTGCTGGGCCTGGCCAGGGTCCACCGACCATGCCACCTTGGTCACCTTCTTTTGGAGGCAGCCCTCTCCTTGCCTTCTGGGTGCTTTCCTGTGGGGTGCATAATTCAGGGATGGAAGGCAAGGTCCAGCGAGTGGAGGGCAGGGTTAGGGGGCACCCAACCCCAGTGCTGCCAGGGATTCCAGGCCCCAGCACAACAGTACTGAGAAATATTGTTTCAGGTTTGCTGCCTTGGGGCAGTAGGGCGGGGGAAGGAGCTCAGGGATGTAGAAACATAGGCTGGGTGTCCATATGCGGAGCATTCTGTCCTACAGGACGTCAGCTTCACCGGATGCCCTCAGCAGAACGCCTTAAGGCAGAGAGCAGGGAATGGCGAGTAGCTTATGACAAATTCTCGTCGGAAAGTGCCAGGAGCTTACATATGGGCTCTGAACAAAATAGGGATCTAGAGTTTCAAACCTCCAACTTGGGTGGGTCTGCAGTTTTGAACACAAGGAGAGTCTTTTTAAGACCTTGTTCTTCCACGAAAGACTATAAGTAGTGTGGTTGGGGTTCTGTTTACATTTTCACCCAGAGGCAAACCCTGAATGTGTAAATACTGGTAGTTCAATCCCCTGACATTTGATACATTAAAAAAAAAAGGATCTGTTTATAAAAACACATCTAGGCCCAGGGAGCAGGTAGACAAAGTAAGATGGTTGCATCGTGGCTGGGAAAATTCTCGGAGAGTAGTTGGTAATCTGCTTTCAGGCCCACAGGGAGTTTTGAGAATTGAACAGAGGAAGAAGAGGCCGGGGAAGAGGGGGGAGCTGGAGAATAGGATGCTGTGTCCACAAGAGGCAAGTGGCCTCAATGGCGAAGGCTTCAGAACTTGCCTTTCTCATGATCTTTTAATTGAAACAACAACAAAATGAGTGGGTCCCTTCATGGTCCCAGATAGCATGGCCAGTGATAAAAGAGATGGACAACAGGGGACAGAAAAAAGTCATAAAAGATGCTAATCTGAGCATCAGTCCTCACTGACAGTGTCATTATCAGTTAATTAATGTGGTCCAAGGGTGTAGGGCTTCATTTATCTCAGAAAGCTAAACGCAGGGGCTATGGCCTCAGAAAGGCGGCTTGGCGTCAGGGACATATCGGTGAACTCTGCTGTCTTCAGCTGTATTTACTGACTCAGAGGCCAGACTAGCTGAGCTCCACTGTGAATTCTCCACCAAATGTGGCTACTTTCCCCTCTTGATGTTCTCCTTGCCACATTTTCTCCAGGTCTGTTGGGATACTGGGTTAGGTTGCTGCTTTGGAAAGCTGTGAGGCAAAGATGCCACCTCAAGTTTTCCTTCAATTTAGGTGGCCTGTGCCATCTGGAGCAGCAGTAGTGATGAAGTGATGGTAGTGGTGGCAATGAGGGGAAAATGGAGGGGAAAACAGAAGGAGGGTGTAGTTCCAGGCTCAGATGTCAACCCAGTGACCCCACCCCAGGGCGTACATACATACGAGTGTGGCTTCTGGGGTGTGCTCCCCAAAGGGCACGTTTTCTGAGTCCTCAGAGGGCCCAGCTGCTGAGATGAGGCTGGCTGGTGGCAGTCCTAGCGTGGGTGCCCATGGGAGGAATCCTGGCGAAGGCACACTTCCTGCCTCTCCTTCTCTGAGACCAGGGGCTGCAGCTTGTCTTACCCTGGCCGATCTGGAGCCCACTTCTGGGGTTGGGGGTGCACCCTGGTTTGGGAGAATGTTTGTGATTCTCTGTCCCCATCTTCCAGATCCTAGCTGATGGTGTACTTACTGTGCCGTGCCTTATGTCTGCCTCCACCTAAACAGACAGGACCGGGTTCAAACACTTTTTTTGTGTGCCCATGTCTCTGTCCTTTTCTCTTCACTCCCACCCCTTCCCCTGGAAAAGATTCAAAGAGCATAAGAGCGGCTGAGCACTCCCTTGCAAACATTTTCATCTTGTGAGATACTACTTTTAAAATCAATCTGGTTTAAACTAAATATATATATTTTAAAACTTCAGTCTGTTTTCAGGGGAAATACAGATCTTATTGAGGTATTTATTATTCCAAAGGCAAGGGCAGTAAGTATCTTGTGTTTTGCTCATGAGAACTCAAAATAAACTGGACCCGAAAGGAACCAGGCCAAAGGGCCATAAACACACATTTTGTGTTTACGGGAATTATGGCTCAATTCCCTTTGTCGTTTTTTCAAATCTAGTTTTACCTTATTTCCCCAACCAACGTAGAAGAAACTGAGCATTCCCCTATTTATCTATAATGACTGATCCCCAGGTGTGATAAAAACCTAAGAACTCATCGAACCCAGAAGGTGGCAGAAGAAGCAATATGTTCTTGAAGATGCAGCCCCAGCCCCACCTGCTCCAAAGACAGTGCTTCCTGCAACACCCGGGTGGTTCTGCCCTCCTGCCTGTACCGGGGTGGGGCTGAGTCATTTTCACACGCTAACCACTTAGTTTCAGAGCCCTCAGGACATCTAGAAGGTGGCATATTGCCTGAGTGGCGTGGTGGCAAGGATTTCTCTAACTGATATTTTGTAAACAAGGAAACCCTCAATTCTTTGTTTTCCTTTTTGGAAATGGTTGCCTACAGATGTGGCAAGTGACAGTGGCCCCAGAAACGAGGTGCTGCTCACTGTGCACATCCACAGAACAAAATCAGGGTCAATGGGACTTTTGTGCCTGTTTCAGAAATGAAGGGCAAGAAAAGCTTCCCTTGGCTCTTAAGAGGTTTTATTTCTTGTGAGCATGTTCCTGTTTGGATTTTGGGTTGGGGGCAGGATATTGACGAGTGAACCCTCTTCCCTCCTCTTCCCACCTCTTCCCCATCCAGAGCAGTTCTGTGGAGATGGGGGTGGGGAGGGGCTGATCCAACTGCAATGCCGACTATGGAGGGGCTGATTGCTTGGGATTCCTTTAGTCTAGTTATGATTAAGAGACATTTAAGTCAGTGGAGAAAACTGAGACTTGCTGGGTGCCTGTGTATCTTCTCCACTCCCCGTTTTTGCCTCCCCCCATGTTCCCTCTCCTCTGTCCCTCCTCTCCTCCTGTCCTCTCTCTTTCCTTCCCTTCTAACTTGCCTCCAGCAATGTTTAGATTCACAAGGTTTTTGATGCTACTGAACCTAAAACTGATGGAGAAAAATAAGATGTTGGTTCATCCTAACTCCTCTAAGAAAAAAGCATTTTTTTAAAAAAATGAGATATAATTGACATATAATACTGTGTAAGTTTAAGGTATACAACATGTAAGAAAAATCTTAATATCCAAGATTTTTGGTATTGGGAATTTTCATTTTCTCCAAATAATTAATAACTAGACCTCCATGTTAACTGGAAGATATTCAGCTGGTCTGGAAGGATTTTCATTGATAAGGGAGAATTAAATACTTTGCTAGTTATCCTAGTCTGTCAAACTGAAATACTTACTCAAACTGAAGGGAATAAAAGATAATGTGCATGGAAAGACCTCATAAGAGGCAGTATGATGCATATATGGGACGTGTTATGAATGTTATTACAGGGGCCCTAAGAGGTACTGTAAATCTGATCTTTGCTACTTTGTAGTAAAATGTAAAGTTTAGAGCATAAATGGCATAAGAAAATATATCCCACAGGATTTATGTGAACTTCTCATCCACACTCTGGTTTCAAGTAAATTCCATCCACACTAGCAACATTTTCTTCCAAGCCGGGAGGAAATCATTCCGAATTCAGATGAGGAAGTAATTGTAATTTTGCATACATGCTCTGTGGAAGTAGTAAGAAATGAACTTCAGCTAGTTTGCAATCCCATCTGGTGTTCAGAAGATGTGAAAGCAAAGGACAACTTAAAATGTGGGGCTTTGGGCAAACCGTTTCTGGGACTGAAAGGTTTGTTTGTGACTTGAGGGCCTGGCCATGGCCAGTTCTGAGTGCAGTGTGCTCGCATTCCTGGAAGTCCTGGTCTGAGGCCTCCTTTGCAAATTCACGTGGATGGATTTCTCTAGCCCTGGCAGTTTCTCCCAAACCCTTTCTACTTTCTTCTAGGGCCTTTGCTTCTAGACAAGGGACTTGAGCCAGGATGGTTAGGTTTCAGGTTAACAAAAAGAAACACTTTTATTGTCAATATTAATGGCAAACCTCGATTTTTACAAGGCTTGGGTTTAGCAGCGTGAGCAGATCAAAAGCAGCTTGGCTTGATTTCTCAATATTCTCTGGAGCTTAGAAAATTAACTGCAATTTTGGGCCTAACGAAACAACACACACACAAAGTTACAGAAATGTTAAAATTAACCCTTCAGCAGAGATTTTTTTTTAACCTGTGTATACAACATGTCAGGATCTAATAAATTTGCCCACTGAACCCAAGGCGAGTTTTGAAGGAGACCCCCTTAAGAAAAAGTGTGAGCAGGGTGTCTTCATTTGCAATGTCATGAGCCTGTTTCTGTGTGTGCATTCCACACTCGCCTTTCTGGCTGGGTAAGGATCCGGCAGACTGAGGTCTCCTTGGTAATTTGGGTATACCGAGTCTCCAGTTAATGATAGATAATCAGCCTTTGGGTCATTCGGTCATTCTCTTATTACAGACCCCTCCTGCTCTCTCTGATCTCCTTTCAAACTAAATTTCACACAAATAAAGCAAGACAGGGACAAACTCTTAAAAAGAGAGGGAGAGAAAGAGAAAGAAATATTAGAAACTCCTGATACAGAACTCTAAACAAGGAAAGGCGAGCTAAAAGAGGATAGGAAAGAACATCTTATCAAAATGAACATGCTGTGTACAAAACATGAAAAGAAAAGGCTCTGGTTTCTGTTAAAGTGACAGAAAATTAAAATAAAAATAATTGCAGGCAGAAAAGTTATAAACAGAGAAGGCAGGATGCTTGCTGGAAATGCGCAGCACTGGGAGGCTAATTGTTGTTGCAGATTATATATCGGCCCCACAGTTGGAGAGGCGCTACTTTGTTCCATTTTCCAGAAGAGAATGATTTTCTTTTTAATACTTGTGTGAGTGCCCACTTAAGTTAACACAGGCCAAAACCTCTAGGAACAGAACACGGAATTGCATTCTGCTTGCAAAGCCTCCAACTTCAAACGGAAGAATTGGTTTTGTGCAAGAAAAGCAGAATTCCATTCAGAACACATTTGGAGGTTTCACTAAATCAGTGACACTAATGCTTTTTTGTTTTGCTGACAGAAGGTGCAGGTCATTCTTGGGGAAGTCCAACCCAAACCAGGCCTCCTCTGCCACCCAGGGGTCTTCCTTTCTGCCAGTCTCCATCTGCCTGTGACTCAGAAAGACAAACTTCAGACTGGCCGAGCTGCATCTCTGACCAGATCCTTTGAGGCTTGTGTGGCATGAAGAGTTCTGGTGAGAGCGCCCCCAGTGCCATTTTTGCCCTGGCTTTCTTGGCCCAGGTCCAGGGCTCTGGAAGGGTCAAAATCTAGCCACTGGTGTTGTCCGCAAGCCCTAAGTTTTCAATCTGATGAAAGACTGGAACTTTGGCTCAGGGTTTGATCAGCTCACAGTTCTACAAGTTAGAGGAGCAGGCGGGAGATGGCAGCAGGTGGCCAACTGTGGGTCTGGCACTGCTTGACGTGCCTGCACAGCTAGCGAACTCCTCTCTCTCTCACTTCTGTGTTTCTTCTAGGCCCAGCTGAAATGCCACCTCCTCCAGGAGTCCTTTCCAGGTGTAGCTTCCCTTCTTTCTCCTCCCTCAAATCAGATTTCTTCCTTCTGGACTCCTTTCCAGTGCTGCTGCTCTGTTCTCTCTGGTAGATCTCTGGGCACTTCCTGTGGGTCGTGGAGAGACCAATCAATGCACTGAAGCCAGTAGGTGCTTAAACAGCTTGTGTAAAAGGGGTGATTCAGAGAAATCAGGTGAGTTCCGCATATTCCAACAGCAGTCGAATTGGTTTTTATTTTGAAGGAGACGAGAACTAATAGAGGAGGGCATCGCCTTGCATTAGGGAGCGGGCCTACATCGCTAAGCAATCGGGAGGGCCAGGGAAGGCTCCCTCCCGTTGATCGCAGTGGCATTGGGTCTGTGGCAGCCAGCTCTGGATCCGGGAGTGGGAAGCGCAGTCCAGCCTCACCGGGACTTCCTCTCCACCTCCTGGGCTCCAGAGGCAGAGCCGGCACGGTGGACTACTCTGGGCTCCCCGATGACCGGCGCCTCTTTCTCTCTAAGCCTTAGTTTCCCCATCTGAACAAGGAGGTAATGACACCGACCTCGAGGGTGTTCAGGGAAGATTAAATGAGATCTGTTTGCTCTCAATAAACATTGATGTATTTTCTCTTCCTGTCTTTTTGGTTTCTTGCCCTCTCTTCCAGGCGCCCGAAGACCCAGCCCAACAACTAGGGCCGGGTCGCGTCGGGGGCACCGCGCTCCTCCGCTGGGATCACTGGGGCCGCGGCCGTCGCTGGACAGCGAGACGCAGAGTGAGACGCGGGGCTGCAGCCACAGCTCGGGACTGTACGGGGACAGGAAGCGCATCCAGAGCCGCCACCCCAGACTCAGGCCACTGCGTGGGCTGCTGGGCCGCTCCCTTCCTCCTGGTTAAATTTTCGTTTTGATCCCACCGCCCTCTCGGTAACAACCGCCAAGGAGGCCAGATCTCCGCCGCTCACCGCTGCGGGGAGGAGGGACCCCCCTCCCCAGCTTCCTCCAGCGGGTCTCGAGGACTTTTCGCTGGAGGCGGGCAGGAAGGGGTTAACCGCGCCCCTCCCCCCACCGCGCCCTCCGTGCCGGGCGAAGGCCGCCGCCTCCCTCGCGAGGTCTCATTAGGGAAACCCTTACCGCTATTTTCAACATTTCCTCAATCAAGAACCTTTAAATAGAGCTGCACAAACAAATTGGCGGCAAAAGCGTAGATCTTGTCACGATTGAGACCAATCCCAATATTTCAGCCTTGTTTGCTTTGCAATTACGGGTTGGCTTGTGGCAGCGGTGCCACCGGGGCAAATCTGCAGCCGCCCGCGCTCTCCTCCGCACCCTCGGCGGGTGGAGGGGGCGATCCGCACAGCCGCTGCCGGGGCGGGGGGGAGGGGGCGGCCGCGGGGCGGGGCGGGGCGCGAGGGGGCGCGGGCGGCCGAGCCTCTGGCGACCCGCGTGCAGAGGGCGCGCAGGGCGCCCGCGGAGAGGGCCGGACTCCTGAGGTTCCCGACGGAACCACGGAGGTATATACAGTAACAGTGGAATCTGCGGCACACATGTGGCAGTCTTGCTGCGTCCTTACGCAGCTTCCTTTCTCTCCTCTCCCCTCTCTTCTGTCCCCATGACGCGTTTCTCCAGTATTTGTTGGCCGTGCCTGGATTTCCCCTTCTCTCGCTGTTAAACTGCTAGCATGATTTGTTATATTTTCCATAGCTGCTTATTCTTGTTTGACTTTTTGTACCAAGTCTCTTTAACTCTGCGGCAGGAAGAATGGAGCTCCAGGTCCTTTGGATGGGCTCCTGCAGGCGCTCGGCTGTCCCCAGCCCTCCTCTGATTCTTGCGGGACGGCTCTTCGCGGAAGTCAGCCGCGGGCTGCGTTCGGTCCCCGCCCAGGCCCGCCGCGCTGGTTTCAGCAAAACAGTAGTTAACTCCAATCAGGTCCTAAGCCTTCTATTTCACAGACAATTAAATCTTGGCGGCTGTTTAACAAAAATGTAATATTTACTCTGCTCTATACCGAGGAGCACTTTAAAAGTCAAAAACAAATACTACATTTCAAAAAAGAAAATATGACAATAAATCTCGTTTTATGGATCCTCTCTGTATAAGTGGAAACAACATGATTTAAATCCGGGACACTTCCACCCTCCCTTTCAGGGACAGCTAAAGTTAGACAGATACTGTCTTTTAACACACATTCTCCCTGGCTGGCGGGGGTGTGGGGGGGCACCCACAGTTTCACGCTCACTTTAGTTTCCAAGATTTCACACCCCACCCTGACCCATCCAGCCAAATGCAACAAGGATTATGAAACAATTAGGTCTGAGATGTGAAGTCTATTTTCACATGGACTCAAGAAAAATGGTCATGACTGGGGTAATTAATTTATAATTTCATATTACTTTCTAAATGGCCACCCATCTTCCTCTCATGTTGATTTCTGAAGGAGGTGGAAAAGTTGAGGCAAAAGAAGAGTTTTACGAGACTCCGGGGTACATATTAAAATATGCTTCTTTATTATTTAAAAGTGCATAAGGTATGGACCTGCATTTGTTTGCTGATGGTCATAAAAAATTCATAGCCGTTCTTGTCAATTAGTGATCTCTCATGCTTCAAAAAATGTTTTTGTTTCTAATTCCACTGGGACTGTATCTTCATTCTCCTGGATCACCCTCCTATAGTAATATTTTGGTTCTCAATTTTATTTAAAGCAAACCTCAGAAATGATGGTTTCCTAAAAATGTGCAATGACAAAGCCACAGAATAATATTTCAAGTCCGAAGTTATGCATTCTCATGTATATCAATTGCCCATAGAGTTTTCTAGCTGATTGCTTTAGTAGTTCAAGAAATAGGAAGCAGCAGCAGAAAGGGTACCATTTCCTAAAAATTCTCCCCTGCCCCCCAAATTTGGTCTGTCATATTATTCAATGCACAAATTATAATATTAGTTTCATGTGTGTTAATCTGTTTAGTATTAAAATTGCTAGAGTGTCTTAACCACTAACATGGTTTGCTACACTGCTTTCAAATGGGTGATCTTAGATAATTATGAAGATTTTGATGTTAATCCCACATTAAGTGAATAACTATGAATATAACCTTAAAGCATTATTATTCTTATATAAATGTCAACAAACACAATCGCAGAGGGAGCACGATTACTTTTTATTTGACATTATCCTATCAGGATATGGCTACATTCATTTATTTTAAAACTGGGGCACTTTTCAAATACTATTTAACAGATTTTTTTTTCAAAACAGAATTTGCAATGCCCATAAACCACAGCAACTTGGTACTGACAGATGCGTATTTTTCCTACATTTTTTATTAATTAGCCTCTTTGCAAACTCACTGAAATAGAAAAGTATACAAAATATTAAAATGTAGAGAATAATTATTAGGGTCTACATATTTATTAAGCTAAACCAATGTTATTAAAATTAAAAACATATGCCTGGCATATAAATGTTTCTTTAAGAATTCTTTTTTGGATGCTCAGTTATTATTTTTAAAGCCTGCTGAGATTTTCAAGTTCTGATTTCCACTCTAAACAGGCATTGCATTGTTTCAAACAGTAGCTCTTGGAACAGTACCACCCTTAGTATTTCAGACTTCCAAACAACAATTGGAATTGGATAAATGCTTTCAGCTGGGAGCACTTTCCTAATACCTTTGTAGGTAATAGGATTCCCTATTTGCGCTGGGTGACAAACGGACAGTGCACTGGACAGACTGCCTACTCTCTGCAGAATCTAGGAGAGATTAGAGGTTTTCCTATGAGACCACTTGTGGTTCATATAAAAAATTTCTGTTACAATGTGAAATCAGAGAATATTAGGGCGTGCCTTTTCTACCCATAGATGTGAAATGATGACTGAAAGAGGGGTGCAAAATATAAGATAGGAGGAATGCAGAAACAGAAAATCTGGAAAAGAAAGTTCTTAGGCAGGATCTGGCTCTTCGCCCACAAACAGGAGAGTGATGAGTTGAATCAACATCAGGATTGCTTTTTGTTTTCTTCAATTCAGTGATTTAAAAATAGATTTTTCACTGAATGAAGAAGCCCAATCAAGAAAATATATGTAAATTCTTGTATATGGGAAAATATTAGCTACCTTGATTTTCCATATTAGTTCAAAATGTAAGGACCTTTAACTCACCACACCATTGTTCTTTCTAAATGAAGAGATGTTGTAATAATTGGTGTCGAAATCTTTAAATTTTTTCAAACTTGTGTTAAATTGGAATAATAAAGCATATCCATGAGATGACTTCCATAAACCCCAATTGGCTGAGAAAAAAATGAAAAAAAAAAAAACACCCCACTTAGAACTTGTTGGGAGAAACCAAACAACTGGTTATGAACATGGGATAAATAAAGCAAGAGATTGGCTCTTTCATTCCTAGTTATTCTTTCTGCTTTTCCAACATTGTTAAGTTCTTTGTATCATGTGCTATTCAATTAAAGATAATGTCAGCAATAAAATTATAGAATCTAATCAAGTGACTATTTTTGCTTTATTATAATATATATTACATTGGGGCTGTTGAAGGTATAATTGATTGCTGCATATTTCTTTTTTCAGATACAGTAATATTTAATGAAATGTTTAGAAATATCAATCTGTTGGTTCATCAAAGAGACAATAGTCATGTTAAATAGTCATGTTAAGTGGTATTAGAATCTGTGTGGCGTGAGCTGCACTTGCTTTGTAAATTATAATGCTTTTAAAACCATGACCTAGGTATTTGTAATGAGGACATCTGAGAAGAGAAACTCAAGGCTCCTCAACTTACACAGGCAAGTGCACCTCCTCATGTAGGAGAACTTGCCCTAGAAGCATATCTCTATTGGAAATGCCATTTCTCCACCCCTCCCCTATTACTTCCACTAGCTGTGTTTTACTAAGAAGTCACAGAGTTAAGAGTGGCTGCAACTCACTGGGCTTTTCTGTCTTTAGATACCTTACTATTAGATGATTGAAAAGTTCAGTCAGTTGTCCTTGTGTTTAATGTTCTCATTGTTAGCTATCTTAATGTATGGCAATAATTGGATTGTGACCCGAATTTTTCTCATTGCCTGGCATCCTAGGAGTTTTAATTTATAACCTCAGATCCATCTGAGTAAATAGTAAGCCATATACATTTTATTGTATTATTAATTATGCCCTGCTTCATGTCTGTAAGAATTTCAAGTAGTTGTTTGAAGAATTACGATGATTTGCCCTGGCTGGTGTGGCTCAATGGATTGAGTGCCGGCCTGCAAACCAAAGAGTTACTGGTTTGATTCCCAGTCAGGGCACATGCCTGAGTTGTGGGCCAGGTCCTTGGTTGGGGGCGCATGAGAGGCAACCACACATTGATGTTTCTCTCCCTCCCTTTCTCTTCCCCTTCCTATCTAAAAATTAATACATAAAATATTAAAAAATAATTAAGATGATTTTTCCAAGTTTGTAAAAATAATGCCTCTAAATATAATTTCATAATTTATTTTGATGTTTATTACAAGATTAATGATGTATCCTGGTAAAAATTTTTGATCCCTAGATGAAGCAAAATCGGATTTGGAATGCAACAAATTTTTAAAATTAATTTTGAGCATGTCATAAAGACATTTTAGTGATACACAGCAATGAAACTATTATTATGCATGTAAGGCAACATAACACAGTGATTAGAAGCAAAGTCACTGGGGGCAGAGGCACAGTTTTGAGTTTTAACTACAACACTTACCAGCGTGTGGTCTTCAGAAAATTATCTAACCATTCTCTGCTTTACTTAGCACATCTGTGAAAGGTGGATAATAATTTTAGACTCTGTTGCAGTGTCATGACGAACATTGGTTGAGATGATTCACATGAGGCAATTAGTAGAGAGTCTGGCATAGAGTAAGTGCTCAATAAACATTAGCTCTTCTCTTTGGCATAGCTCTACAAAGGTTAAGGGTGGCATGCCAGCTACCTTCCTGAGAGCCACAAAGTAAGTGTGGGGTGTTGACAGCCCATGGACACAGAGATCTGTGTGGGGAGTCTGCACTGGCATGCAGCTTCAAGGTTGGCTGGGTGAAGGCAATGGCTTCTGGTTGTCTTCAGAGGCTCTAGAAAGGTATGTGGAAATGGTCCTAGTGATAGCAACCCGTCAGACTGGCTGAGGATACCTGCTTCATGCCATCTTTTCCATGTGTGATGTGGTCTCTCGGTGCCTAACACAAAGGTCTAAACTGTGGGAAATGGCACTTTAAAGAAATGGAATGTCCCACCCAGGTCAATATTCCCCCTCCCCATTTTTTTCTTAGTACCAGGTGTCACATGTGATTTATACCTACCAAGAGGGTGGCTTATATGGCCACGGTCACCACTCAGAGGT